CCCAACTGTATACCACCGCCTTCCTCACCCCCATCCCTCTTCTTTTAAAGAGGAGTGTAGGAGGAGGGTGGAGGAACAGGTGGGCGACGCAAGAACACGGGGTCGCTTTCGCTGACATTCGCACGCAAACTGCCCGCGTAACCTCGCGCGTGTGCGCCCTCGTCTCCTGTGTGGCGTGCCGCGCAGGCGTTTTTCGATCGTCGCTCAAGTGGGAATGGAGGCGGTGGTGGTGGTGCGCACAGTCGGACCGAGGCCTAAGATCGAGGTCGGCTCGAGGTGGCACGAGGCAGCGTCGAGAGTGACCTCCCAGACGGGTTCCGAGTACGAGTAGCAGATGGGGTCGGAGGATCGCGCCGCATCGCTGATACATCGACGACGCGTCTCGATGCGGAGCCCGATGGTCTCCACGCCGACATCGCCGATGCGTCGCCGACGTCGCCGATGCATCGACGATGCATCGCCGATGCATTGGCGCTGCGGCGCGATCCTCCTATCTAGAAGGCCTCGAGAGAAGTAACAGAGACAGGGTCGTCGACGGTCGAACAGGGGATGGACTACAAGATGTTCTCCGATTCTACGAGCCAGATTCAAAATGGTCGTCGATCTACAAAGATTTTACGCATTTGTCTGCAAATCCTTCGAAACTTTCAGATATGGGGTAAATCAATTCTGTAGTCCTCCTACTCGAGAAGGGATAGGATCGGAGGCAGATCTTGGGAGCCCTGTGTGCCCTCGTAGCTCCGCCTGTCGGGAGCATGAGCATGGGCGCCGGTTTCGCGTCTGGGGATCGATGGGATGGCGCCAATGTAGCGTCGTGAGCGTCGATTTGGCGTCGACGAGCGTCGATGCGCAAGAGCCAACAAGATAGTACGGGAGGCTCCCATGACTTCCCACCGAAGGGAGGGGCCTGGAGGGGGGACAGGAGGTGTTCTTTGGTCTTTCGCTCCTAGCGGTGTGCCGTCCTCGGGACGTTTTTTGCAGCAGCTGCGCCGCGTCGAGAGTTTTCCGGGGTCAGGCCTTCTCAGAGTAGGGCAACGAAACATTACATAAACATAAAACTCGGAGGTCCGCGCGAATTCCTTGGATCCGTGCTGGACCCCCCTCCCTGGTGCGCGGAGCGCGTCAGGGGCGGCGCCGGAGGCGCCGCCAGGGGGGGTCCAGCGTCGATCCGAGAAATCCGCGCGGACCCCCGAGTTGTTCTGTTTACGTCACTGCTCGCCCACCACACAGAAGTCGGCGGGGCTCATCAGAAGCCCTCGCGCCTTCGAGGAGGTGATCCGTATCTTGCGGGATGGCTTTGGAGACTTCTCGGAAGGCCGTCGGGCGTCCGAGCCTCCTGAGGAAGGTCCGCCGAGTCTCAAGCACGTGGTCGTCGAAGGGGGAGGGGCCGGGGGGGGGACAGGAGATGTTTTCGGCCGGGGCTGGGACGAGCATAGGTCCGTTCCCGAGCGTCGCGGTTCTCTCCCAGAGCGTTCCGGAGCGCTCCGAGAAGGCCGCTGCGCCCGAGTCATCATCTTCCAGAGCAGCCAGATCCGATCCCAGAGGTTCTCGACTTGTCCGTTAGGGCTTCGCCCTTTGCCGCCGGCCCTCTTCTCCATCAGACTGGAACATGCAGGAGCCATGTTGGGATGCCTGGGCGCGTCGTGAAGCAGTATCGAAACCTCGTGCGAGGACTATTGGTAATCTTCAAGACATTGATATTCAGGTGATAGCGTTGAACTCTGTGCTGCCTCATGGGAACTCCCCCTCATGCTGTGTACCGGCTGCCCACTTGGAACGACTGTGGGTTGCCTGAGACTAAGTCGGGCAAAATCGCGCGGTTAGGACGGTCTTGTTCTTCGGGGTATGGTACGAGGGAACGTGGCTTCGGGGCCGCCAAAACGGTGTAATTTACGAGAGATCCTGGCCGCCCTGGCCTCGGGGACGCGACCACTATAATTTTCAAGGGTTCGTGGCCTCGGAGACGCGAATACTGCGTAATTCACAAGCGATCATGGCCTCGGGGATGTGAACACGGTGCAATGTACGAGGGATTGTGGCTTAGGCAGCGCGAAGATGGTGCATTTTGAAAGGGATCGTGGCGTCGGAAACACAAGTGATGCTCAAGTTAGGAAGGATTGTTGCCTTGGCAGCGCGAAGACAGCGCAATTTGCGAGGGATTGGCCTCGGCAGCGCGAATTCGGCGCAATGTGGAAGGGATTGCGTGCTCGGCAGCACGAACATATGCGATTTGCGCAGGACTGTGGCCTCGGCAGCCGGAATACGATGCAACTCGCGAGGGCGTGTCGCCCTGGCATCGCGAATATGGAGCATTTGCCAGGGATGGTGGCTTCGGCAGCGCAGATGCGGTTCAATTTGTATGGGGTTGTGGCCTCGGCAGTGCGAATACGGGGCCGATTTGCGAGGGATTGCACACTCGGCAGCGCGGCTACGGCGCAATGTGGCGCAGGACTGCGGCCCCGGCGGCGCGAGCACACCCTCCTGGGGGTTTGGCAGCCGGGGCCCTTTTCGGCCCCCCCCCATCGCGCGGACAGCGACAAGTTTCACCAGCCTCGAACTTATCCCTATCCCCAAGATTGACACGCCAAAGGGCGATGACAATCTTAGGGATGCGCTCTGAAAAACTGAGGGAATCCCCAAGATTGGCATTGTGATGAGGCGATGCCCAGCTTAGGGATAGGGATCTGTTCCAGGCTGGCAAAAATTACAGCAGGAAGCAGAAAGTGGAGCTATCACATCGGAAACCGGAATTGGCGCAGGGCACTGCAACCCTCACCCTGCAGCCTGGTGGCCCCACCAGGGGGCCGGCGGATCCTCACCCGGTGTCATCCTCGTCCTTGCCTCGTCTTGGGGGAGGAGATGTTCGCGGGTCCTTGGCAGTTTGCCAGCCTCGGGGCGCGTTTCAGCGGCTGCGCGCCTCGTCGAGAGCTTCCCCAGGGGTTGGCCGAAAAGTCGTCCCGCGGTTGGCCGCCGGAGGCCCGAGAGTTGTGCTTCGATGGTCGCCAGGCGTCGAGGAGGGTGAGGCCTAGGACCCAGGGCCACGCGCAGAGGGGGGCAGGGGGTGAGCGGGGAGGGCTTCTCAGAAGCACCCTTGCTTCTGAGGGGGGGCTCGTATTCACGTACGTGGTCGGGCGCGTACGCGCCTTTGTGGGCTCCCAAAGGGCCCAGGAGGCGGGGGTTGCTACCATGGCCATCGCCGTTGCCGAGGCGCCGGTTCGGAGGACGTCAGCTGACCTCGGGGCTCAAGAGACGCAGTAAGTGCAAAAACAGGGGTCAGCCAGAGCGCCAGATCTTGCAGGATCCTGCAGGGCCAGGTGTGCACTGACCTGGGTTTGGGTGCTGCAGGATGCTGCGGGGTCTTGCAGGCTGCCTGCAAGGCCTGACTGACCCAGGTTTGCAATGTCCCGGGCCAGCAGATCCACGACGACCACCCCACCGACCATGGTCCCAGGATCGCCTTGCCGGCCAAGGTCGGTGAGGTGGTCACCTGCCCATCACCGAGGAGCTGCCTCGGGGCACGACGGCTGACCATGGGTCCTGGCCGTGCTCCTCCTGGGCGCAGGATCGGCCTGGCAGGGACGGGTGAGGTGGCCAGCTGGCGTCCCCCCACCGATGGTGCTGGCGGGCCGTGGGCTGGCGCGACCGCCTCAATAGGGGTCCACATGCGAACCCTACGCCTACCCCCCACGATTTCTGAGGGGGAGGGTGGGGTTCACTTCGTTCGGGAGCTCCCGAGCGAAGTGAACCCCACCCTTCCCCCCAGAAATCGTGGGGGGTAGGGGTAGGGTTCGCATGTGGACCCCTACACAAGATGCCCCAGAATTGTCGGTCCGGGGCAGCGCAATTCATGTTGCCGGCGGGCACCCAGAGGTGGCGCGAGGGGGTCGGCCTACGCCTGGAGGGCTTCTTTAGAAGGTCGGGGGGAAGGAGTGCGGCTTTGAAGCCCCGGGGCCTTCTGAGAAGCCCCGGGGCCCACCTAAAGCGGCACGGTAACCTCCGGCGGCACCCGCTACCGATTGAAGATCTTTCGAACAGGTCGGCGCTTGTAGTCTGGCGGACGGGGACTAATGGGGGATCGAGGACAAGGATGAGGAGACGGGGACGGGAGGCCGATGAATGAGGGGAGGAGCAGCAGGAGCAGCAGGAGGATGGGAAAGGGGCAATGACAAGGATGAAGGGGAGGAGGAGGAGCACAAGCAGGAGGAAGGCGAGGCAGGGTTGGAAGAGGAGCAGGACGAGCAGGAGCAATACCATAGACTCTGCAATCATCCACGGCTGACGTCTGGCCAACGCGTCAAAGAGGAGGCTGAGAACGAGCAGGAGTAGGCGAGAGGCTTTTGCTTACTGTTTCGCCCTCCGGGGGCCCTCACCAGGCCCCAGGACCGTCAATAATTCTATACGGGGTAAAAAGTTCGGTTCTGGGGAAGGGATCCAGACCTCTGCGGGTCGACGTGGTAGAAAAGACACGTCGTCGGAGTTTTGGAGTGGCGCCGCGGAGAACGCACATCGCATTGCAAACCGAACCGCACCACCGAGATGTCGAGCAGTGGCGAAGCGTCCCGGCCTGTCTTTAGGCCCACCAGAGAATGTCATGCTGGGGTTCTAGCAATTCGTGGTAGGCTTACCCATCGGTCGTTGAACGTAGGTATTATTGGAGTCCCATATTCCAATCTACTTCAAGCGCCTTCCTACTTGAATGATCGAGTGGTTTCACCATTTCCGTCCTCTTCAGGGGGCGGCGGACACCCAATGTATATTCAGCGCCTTCCTACTTCATGCTTCTACCTACTCCTTCGGACCGATGGGTGTAAGAATGCTGGGGCGCTCGGTCCCTGCGCAAAGATGGGAGGCGCCCGCCCAGGCGCGGGTCCGGGGCTCCCTGTCCGAGCTGCGATCTGAGTTCCGCCGCCCCTGTTAAGGGGGCGGTTTGCGAACCCTGCCCCTGCCCCCTCAGAACTCGTGGGGGGCAGGGGCCGGGCTCGCGCGTGGCTCCCGCCCAGGAGCGGCTCCGGCGCTCCCTGTCCCAGCTGCGGTGCGAGTTCCGCCGCCCCCGTCCCCGCTGCCTCGGCGCGGCAGCCGCCCGCCCGCCGCCGGGCCGCGCCGCCGCACTGCCGTCGGCCTCCGCCCCCCTGTGCTGTTGCTCCTGCCGCGTGCTTCTCCTCGCTCGTCGTTCGAAGACGGAAAAACTCGGGAGGGGAAACAACACACAGACACAGTTCATCGCCGATCCCCCAGGAAAATATAGGAGAATATGGGAAGTGGGGGGGAGGACAAAAACGCCGAAAGTATTTGAAAATATGAGCAATCCTATTATTTGTGTGTATTGATTTGTGTGTCCCAGGGCCCCTTCATCTCTCTTCGTCTGAAGACGAAAAAACGGCATAAGCATTAACGGTTGGCGCTGCGCGTGGATTTCTTGGAACCGCGCTGGCCCCCGCCCCCCCGGCGGCGCCTCAGGCGCCACCCCTGGCGCGCGCTCCGCGCGCCAGGCAGCCTGAAACATGCGCCTGTAGGAGGACATGCCCGACCTAAAAGTAGCCCAGGGGCTCAGGGAGGCATCACGGCACGTGCTCACTGTAGCAGTTCCGGGGGGAGTGAGTGCATGGCACGGCGGCGGTACCTTCGCGACAATGTGTGTCCTGTTTCTTCGGAGGCACGCGGCAGGGAAGTGTTGTTGCGCGCGGACGCGGACGCGGACGCGGGCAGCAGATTAGTATCAGTGGATCTTTCTAGGCCTCCTATATGGGGTCCGAGTAGATGGGATCGTAGGATCGCGCCGCATCGCCGATGCATCGACGCTGCGGCTCGATGCGGAGCCCGATGTGCTTCACGTCGACGTCGCCGATGCATCGCCGACGTCGACGATGCATCGCCGGTGCATCGCCCGTGCATCCGCGATGCATCGGCGATGTATCGGCGATGCGGCGCGAGCCTCCGACCACATCTGCTCCGACCCCATCTAGGAGTCCTCCAATCTTGCCCCAGGCCAGCCAGGCGGCAGCGCACCGCGTGTCCTGTGTGTGTCGCCTGACTCGGCGTCGCTTCTGTCTCGATCGCCGAGTGGTCATGCCCTCGCTCTGGATCGCTGGTGCGAGAAGATTCCTTCCTGCCCAGGGCTGGACCTAAACGGTGTTTTTGGTGATTTCGTGGGCCGCTTTCGTTTCGATTTCGTTTTGCGGGAAAGGCGGACTCGAGACAAAAGCGAGGGAGAACGAAGACAAAGCGAAAACGAAAAGCACCGTTTAGGTTCAGCCCTGCTCCTGCCCTCTCCCCGAGGCGGCCTCCCCCCCCTGCTCCCCCAGCTCTCCTGCTCCGCTGCTGCCTCCCTCCACCAGCCTGTAGCAGATCCCTATCCCCGTGGCATCGCCTGATCTCCGCGCCGATCTCATGGAGTGCCCCCGCTTCTGAGGGCACATCCCCTGGATCGTCGTCGCCCCGGGGCTTGACAATCCTGGGGACGAGGATAAGATCGATGCTGGTCACAGTCGACCCGCATGGTAAAGATGGGCAACCTTCCCAAGAGCCTCCCCCCCCTTGCATCCCCGCCTCCTCGGCTCATCTTTGGCGACTTTCGCTTTCCGCGCCCCGCTCGAAAGTCTTCGAGAGGGCCTTCCGAGGCCCCTGCATGCTCATCGCGCGTCCCAATGATCCTCAGGAGGGGAAAAAAACACAGACACAATTAATCGTCGATTCCCCTGAAAATATGGGAAAAGTTGGGAAGTGGGGAGGAAGACAAAAACCCAGATAATATGGGGAAACATGTGGGATCCGGTTATTTGTGTGTATTTGTTTGTGTGCCCCAGGGCCCCTCCAGATCCGGGTTGGCGGTCGGGATACGATCGAGGCCGATTGTCCCCAGCCCGCTCCCGCCCGCCCCCCCAAAAGGTTCTCCCTCGAGGTCGTCCGGGGCGAGGCGCGCGGCCCGGGCGAGGGAGGGCTCCTGAGGACGAGGGCCGGAGGGGGTCAGCAGCAGGGCTCGACCTCAACGGTGCTTTGGCGATCTCGTGGACCGTTCTCGTTTTGGTTGCGAAGGCCTTACGGCCGGTGCCGCCGACCCTGAAGACGACGAAGATAAAAACGAGGGTGAGGAGGAGCAGGAGGAGGAGGAGGATGAGGAGGAGGAGGAGGAGGAGGAGGTAGAGGAGGAGCAAGAGGAGGGGAGCAAGGGGGGAAGGAGGAGGAGGAGGAGGAGCTCGTTTTGATTTCGTTTCGCAGCCCAGGCGGGACGAAGACAGCACGAGGGGAAAACGAAAGCAAAAGGACAACGGGAAACACCGTTTAGGTCGAGCCCTGGTCAGGAGTCGAGCGGATCGGCTTTCCCAGTCACAGCGCGCTTTCTCCACCTCGCCCGCGGCCTTGGAGGGCCGTTCCCGTGCGCACGCGCCGGGGCCACCGTGACGCGAGCCCAGGGCGGGAAAGCTGCTCTTGGGACAGGGGTTCGGGAGTTCTGCGGCCCGCGGACGGTCGGGCAGAGCCTTCTGCAGCGCCTTGCAACCGGCCGCCACGGCGCCCGACGCATCCGTGCCACCTCGGCTGGCCTGGGTTTGGGAGCTGCCATGCGGCTGGCTCAGCGCCTGGGCGAGCAAGCGCGCGTCAGGTGCTCACAGTCTGCCCCGACCTTCCACCACGGAGTGGCGGCCTGGGCGTTGTGCTGTTTGGAGCTTGTGCCCAACCGCCGCCTTGGAGCTCACCACCCACCGGGCCATCCCGACCCAACCCGAAGGCCCCCATTTGCTCTCCATTCCCAGTCGGGGGGCGGTCGGGGAACATTCAAAAAAGCACGTCTGAAGCTCCTCCCCCCTTCGACCCGAAATTCGAGTCTTCGGGTTGGGTTGGGGTGGTCTGGTAGGCAGCCAGGAACAAGTGAGCTGGGACCTGTTCCGATTCACGTCCTCTCCATGCTTCTGGCCCGGGTCCGCGACATGGCTCTGGCTGACCCCAGGGTCAGCGCGTCCCCGAGGGGAGCTCCAGAATCTAGAATCTCTCCTCCTCCTCCTCCTCCTCCTCCTCCTCCTCCTCCTCTTCGAAGGCATCAGTATGGGAGCAGAGTATGTTGCCTGAGGAAGCCGCCTCTCAGGGCCAGGTAGCGGCAGGCTTAATGTGGACCGGTTTGAAGTACTGTGAGTCTTTCAAGTTATCGTGGCTCCGTGCACGTGCTGAGTATTGGGGGGGATCCCTCGAGTGCTCGTCAGGACCTTATATACCTCTGGAGAAGCCCACGTATCCTTCGTCTGGTAGCCCACCACAGTCCCCTCCCGCTCTTCGCCGAATCTGGTTTACCAGCTGGGAATATCTATAACGATGCTTTCGAGAAGGTTTATGCGATGTTCGACTTCGACCAATTCGTGATCCGAGACCCACAGGTCTCCCTGGGCTCCTACATCGATGGTGATACTGTGTTGGGTTTTGGGGAGGATGAGGCGGAGGAGATAATTCGTGATCTAGCTCGAGGCGCCGCGGACATGACGTATGTTTTGCAGGTGCGCCTGGGAGTGGAGCTTGCAGCTGACACAAGGCATCGACTTTCGCGTCATCCCAGCGCGTCGCCACCCGCTTGGCCAAGGAGTTGGCCCGTTACTGCCCGTCTCTCGCTTGCAACTCTGCCGTCTCCCTGGGCTGCGACTTGGCGCCAGGACAAAGCAGGGCATGCAAGGGCGGCCGCACCAAGAGGCAGGCACATTTCCGAGACACGAACACACGCTATGGTTTTCCGCGGTGTTTCAGAAGGCATCTCCCCGGGGATCGACCTCGCACGCGTACAACCTACGCCTGCGGGGTCAGGCCTGCTGCGGGACATGGGTCCATGGTCCTGGGGATGTCCGGCCAAGAACTACATGAGCTCCGTCGTGTGCTGCCGGCAGGCCCTGCGCCCGCACGCCGAGGCGCTTCCCGCACTGCCAAGGTGTGCCTTCACGGCGACCCCGCCTGGCTTCCGGCGACAGCTCCCGCGAGGCAGTGGGCTACCAGCCTGTGGCGAAGCATTACCACTCCGAGTACCAGCCCCCCCCTCAGTTCCACCACGGCAGGCTGTGGAGGAACCTGGAGAACCAGCAGCGCTCGGTCTTGGGCCCTCTTCCTTCGTGGCGGCACTCTCGGGGACCAGGTCATCGTATGCTCCTGAGCCCAGAGCGCATGGGATGGCAGGCTGTCCGTTTTAAACTTTGGAGGGGTGGTCGAGGTCATGCTGTACATTTATGTTACAATCGCCCCGCCATGGTAGCTAGTTTGTTGCAGTCAGGGGTCCTGAGATTTCATGAACGACGTCTCGCGTCGAGTCTCCCCTCGTTTGATCGTGTCCGTGTGTGTGTGGACCCCCTCCGCTCCAAACTCCGTTCGAGGCGGACCACGCCGCGAGCTAAGTATTGGAACTGCTCATATTTTTTGTTATGTTCCAACGGCTGCTGGACGGCCGACCGATTGCATGAGTCAGGACACGTGTCGGATGGCAAGTGTTCGAAGTGTGGGGCCCCTGACTCTCTTTTTCATCGGCAGTGGCCCTCTGAGGACCCTGAGGTTCCTGAGGCCCACAGTGAAGCCCTCGTCTCGGACGTAATTGAGGCTGCCAGGAACAGTGCACTTTCTGAGCGTGACTTCTGGTCTCGCCTGATAATGGTGCAGCCCGATGAGTCCTTTCCCCCTCCCTCGGCGTGTACCCTCTTGCAAGATGCCAGTGGGCAGCCATTATCACTTCAAGATTATGTGGAGCGGAGTGAGGGCTGCGATCTTGTGGTCGACGGCACTGCTACGCAGTATCCAATCCTAGATTTAAGCCGTGCTGCTTTTGAGGGAGTTGTCTTGGAACCTGGGGACGAGTACCACGTTCGGACCCGTTTCCTGGCCACGGTGTGGCCTGTGCTGCACCAGGCGCCCCAGGCTGCCGAACATCTAGGCCTTGCCACGGCCTGCGCTTTTTAGTGTCAGCACGTCAATCCCTTACAGTGATTGTAAAGGCGCCGTGCGGCTGCACCACCTGCCGGATGCAGCACAGCTTAGCCCCAGGGAGATGTGTGCGGGATTTCGTCGGGCGGCCCAGCAGTCGGCTGGACACGAGGCCTTTGGAGCGGCCTGTCACATCCCAGCCCATCGATCAGAGGCAGCAGTTCAGGAGCTGCCGCCTGCTCAGAAGCGGATCGCTCTGGCGCTTGGCTAAATTCGCCTTCTCGCTCCACCCTCAGCATGCAGCTGCTGATCTGGCTCAGCTGGATAAGCGGGTGCAAATCCTTCGGCCTTGTGCCAAGATGCTCGGCCGTGTCCTCCCGTTGATCCGTAAGCTGGCCTTCGAGAGAGCCCCGAAGGTACGATGTTTGCCTCGCGTGCCGCTCCCTCCCGACTGGCATGATTGGGGAGATCTGGACAGCGAGCAGAGCGTTTTTCAACATGTGCGATGTTTCATGAGTTCGTTCCACGGCGAGCCCCGACCTATGAATGGTTGCACCGGCGTTTCCACTGCTCTTCGACGCTCCCGCGGTGCGGAGATTGAGAGGCACCATAGGTTTGGATTGCTGATGTTTTGCTTCGCTTGTGGTGCATACACAAGCGGGCGTTGCCACTTGCTGGGCCAGGAGTGTGCAAGGAAGCGGGGCACCTCAGGAGCAGGTGCGCTCGCTCGCCTCCAAATTGGCTTCCACCTCCATTACGGAATGAATCCTGAGGGTGGTGATTCGGTGGCTCCTGCGCGGGTGCCGCCAAAGACGGTGCCCCTTGCCCCATCCAGACCCCCGTGCTGCAGGCTCCTCGCGCTTGGTCGATTCGGACTGCTTGCGAGAGCTAGCAGCCCGCATTCGGGCCAAGGAGGAGACATGCAGGCGCTAGCTGGTGATGAAGCTGGATGTGATGCCGCCAGGCCGTCCCGTCGTCATCATCATCATCCCTCTCTCCTTCCTCCTTCTCCTCCTCTTCCTCCTCCTCCCCCTCCTCTTCCTCCTCCTCCTCATCACCATTATCATCATCATCCCTCTCTCCTTCTTCTTCTTCCTCCTCCTCCTCCTCCTCCTCCTCCTCCCCCTCCTCCTCCCCCTCCTCCTCCTCCTCCTCCTCCTCCTCCTCCTCCTCCTCCTTCTCCTCCTCCTCCTCCCTCCTCCTCTCCTCTCCTCCTCCTCCTCCTCCTCCTCCTCCTCCTCCTCCGCCTCCTCCTCCTCCTCCTCCTCCTCCTCCTCCCCCTCCTCCCTCCTCCCCCTCCTCCCCCTCCTCCTCCTCCCTCCTCCCTCCCCCCTCCCTCCCTCCCTCCCAGCGCCAGAGCACGCGTTGTTGATCGCCCGCCCCCCCCTGCGCTTACCTTCCTGGCCATCCTGCCTGAACTCTGCCCCAGGGCTCGGTAGCCGCGGCCCCACATCCATCGTGCGCGTCGTCACGGGGGGTGGTGGAGGCGGGTGTGGGACCTGCGATGCTCGGTCCTTGAAGCCCCCTCAATGTTCGACGTTCGATCCTCGATGTTCGACCAGTCCTCGATGCTCCATATTCGATGTTCGATCCTCGATCCAGCTGGGCCAGGACGTCTCAGCCCCACCCGCCCACCCCCTTAAGGTGGGGATGGGCCCCGCGAAAGTCGAGGGGCCAGTCAGAAACATCCCCACCCGGGTGGGTGCGTCGGCCAGCGGGACCAATGGCCACGCCACTGGACACAGGGATCGGTTGAATGATGCTCAGGGTATTGCAGGGCATTATTTCGAGGCCGCCGACTCGATTTAGAGTCGATTTCGACGGATTCCGATTCCGATTCGACTCGATTTGGGATTCCGATTTGGGATCCGATTCCTCGGTGGAGGCCCACTCGCCTGCCGATGTCTGCCGATTCGACTTATTCCGACTCGACTGCCGATATCCGTCGATTCGACGAATGTCAATAGCCGATCCGACTTGTCGATTCGATTCTGGGCTCTTCTTGGACTGTCATGGTCATCGTTCAGTCTTGGCCATGGTCGTCGGCTTTGTTCCCTCGTATGTCGTCGTCGGCCTCGTAGCTGTGCCCAGGGGTTTGGGGGTGGTCCCCCATGGGCGCCCGCTGTCACATGTAGGGACCCGTCGGGAGGCCGCCCGCGTGCTGACCTGTCTGGTTTTGCGCGGACCAGCCCAGACATGCTCGTGCCGTAAAAAAAATCGGGGGCGGCCAAGAGGGGGGTGATGGCTAGGGGGGGGGAAATCTCGGCGGGGGCCATGATATCTCATCATATTTCATGGCGCCTCGTCTTTTTTCGTTATGCACGTGGCCCCCTCTCTCCTGGGCGCTCACATGCCGCCAGCCATGATTTGCACCTCCCCCTCCTGGACGCCCCCCTCTTTGCCGACCCCGACCAAGTAGCACGATGGGAGGTTTTCAGCCGTTTGTGGCCTCTGGGGGCCTTCGCCAGGCCCCAGCACTGGGAACACATGGCTTGGGATGGAACGCCGGTCCCAGGGAAGGGGTTTCACCTTCTGGGGGGTCGTCGTCGTGAGGCGTCAAGACGGTCGGAGATTTGGGTCTTCACGGACCAGGCCTTGGCGTGTGAAGTCTCCTACTGCAGGTTGGCCCTCGCGTGACTCCCGATCTGCCTGGCGCATTCTGGCACCGTCGCTCTCGGAACCCTCGTGGTGGTTGCCAGAAGCGAAACAGAAACAGGGGCCGTCGGGGCGATCTGGGGGGGAAGGCAGAGGTGTTTGTCGGACCGTAAGGCCGGAACAGGGGGGCGTCGAAGAACAGGAAACGGCGTAGACTTACACTTTCAGGTCTGCGCGGGCTGCTTGGCTTCTTGTAGGCTGATTCACCGCGATGCTCTTGCTTGTTATTGTTCGTGGCTGCAAGCATGTCTTTACTTGGTATGGTCATGTTTGGTGTCGACTTGCTATGGTTGTCTGCTCCTGTGTGTGGTTGTGGCTGCTTGCCTGTTCTTGTAGAACTGTAGTTGCTACTGAGCGTAATTGTGAGCAACTATTCACGTGTAAGCTTTTTCTTGATCAGGGCAGCTCCAGCCCTGCAGGAGCACCCTGATGTCCTTCGTGCGTGGGCCAGCTGCCCGCAGCGTTCGTCGTCTTGGGTCCCTCCATTGGGCATTGGGCAGTTCTCTTCATCCACTTGTTCCGGAAGTAATGTTGTCTCAAGGTGGCTCCGGGATCCCCGCGTGCCCGTCGGCTCTTGAACCTGCCCCCCTGAGCCTCGAGCAATGAAGACGTCATTCCTTGTTGGGGCTGTGTCTGGGCTCGCGGTCGTCTGGTGGAGTGCCGCAGTTGTTGTTGCTTTGAACATGAAGGCAGTGTTCAGTGAGGTGAACGGGCGCGCGGCATTGTTTCCGCACCCGCTCTTGTTCACTGCAATCTTGAATTTAGCCGTTGGCTTCTGGTGCGTGCTGTGCACGCAGGCTTCCAAAATAAATGGGTTCATGCTGTGCACTCAGGCATTCACTTCAGACTCTGTGTACTGCGCACTGTGCGGAGGATCGTTTGCGAGTCTCTCATCTGTTTCGTTGGAGTCGCGCGAGCTTTTGTTTCTTCTGCTCATGGGTATCTTTCAAGGCCTGGAGCTTGCGTTAAGCAGCAGCTCCTATCGGTACTTATCGATATCTGAAAACAGAATGGCAATGGCCAGCACTGTCGTCATCCAGCTGTTTACCGCCGTGCTCTGGCAAATCGAGCGCATCTGGTGGCTAAAGTGGCTCGCTGCCGCTTTGATCGCGGGTGGCGCGGCCGCTCAAGCCCTGGATTGCACCGAAGGGACGGCCACCTACAGAGTCGTCGCCCTTGCGTGTGGCCCGCACAATTTCCACGCCGACCCTGGAGCAGCAGCGGTCACCCGCACAGAGGGCACCTGGAAGGGGTGGGTCATGGTGGTGAGCTCCGTCCTGATCAGTGCAAACCGTTGGGCCTTGACGCAGCATATTTTCCAGAGGAGTCAGGCGGAATCTGCATTCAGGCGCTGGGGGAAGCTCCAGATGATGCCGTATATGGCTGCGGGTACCATTTTTGTGTGTTTGATGTTGGCGGCCGTTTTCGAACCTGGAGCCTTCTCTGAGTTCGTTGGCATGGGCGTCGTCGAGAATCTCGTGCCGCTTGTCTTGCTTGTGTCGATTTCAATCGCGATTCTGACTATATGTGAGCTCCTAATTGTCAGCATGACCGCTGCGACTGTGATGGTCATTCTGGCTGTAGTGCATAACATACCCATGATACTGGCAGGTGTCATCATCGATCACGACGTTGTTTTCAGAAACCAGTGGCTCGGTTTCGTATTGTGTTCAGTTGGAGCTGTAGTTTATTTTGTCGCACGCAATTTGGACGATCAGGTCGGTGATGTTAATAGTTTCGTGGCATTGGCAGGGAGCGCCGATAGATCACGATCAACGACGATTGGTGTAGTAGTTGCGGATGGCGGCAGTGCGCGCAATTGAGATGCGTTCGCAGATTGATGGATTGCTGCATCTACAGTAGGAAGGAGTTATGTCTGTTCGAATTCCAGATGCCCCGCGTACACCCACCAGCCCATTCAGAAACGACGCCCAGGGGAGTAGCCCAGTCCAGGGCTTTCTGGGAGCATGCAGTGCCACAGGCTGACCCGGCTGGGGGGAGGGTGGGGTGGGGGGGCAGTCGCTATATTATTTGAGTTTGATGTAAGAGATTCGGAGGCCTCATCGGAGTCCTCTGGGAGTCAACCATAAAAAGGCCTTCTCGAAGCAATATGCGGTGAATCACAAAGATGTTTGTAAGACAAAAGGGCGTCGGCAGCAACATTTTCCTGGGAAGCAACGAGCTAACCACACAATGCCTTGGCGGGCTTTTCGGAGGATAAGCAGGATGCGGATGAGAAATGAGGAAGAATGCGGAAGTAAAGGAGGGAGGCGGAGGACGAGGAGAACAAAAAGGTTGAGATGGAGGCCGAGGAGGCGGAGGAGGAGGAGGAGCGCGTGCAGAAGGTAGGTGCAGTTGACAGAGTACTGGTGAAACACCGAACTTCCGGTGAACCGTATGTGGTAGAAGGATGGGGTGGATATTGGAGGATGAGGAGGAGGATATGGAGCTTGAGGCGGAGGTGTGGGAACATGAATTCCGACAGCGACAGCGACGGCAACCGTGAAGGCATTTGCGGATATGTCGTTTGGGGAGTTTCTTTGAGGTTCAGTGGAGGCATTTTGGAGCTTTCTTGGAACTCTTGGGGGATCTTCCGAGACCCTCTCGGCGGTCGTGAAGGGGTCCTTTTCGGGGCCGAGGGCGCTCTCCTGGAGCACTCCTGCGCAACACATAGAGGGCCCTAACTTGGCCTCGCCCTGCTGGAGGCCGAGGCATCGTCTCTGCGGGCCCTGTTGCGGCGATCTTGTCGCGCTCCTGGCCGTTTCCAGGTCCCTCTGGAGCCTCTTCTGGCGCCTTATTGCGGCTGTTTTGGGCGATCTTGTGGCAATCTTGGGGATCCAGAGGCCCATCATAAGCTGCACGGCAAGACATCGCAGTTCTTACACACCTTAGCTTCTTCAGGGCCGTCTTGGAAGCAGATCGTGGGTTCGTGTATGCTTCCTGCCATGTTAGTCGAACTTGTCACAGTTTGGGCCATCTTGCAGGCTACCTTGGAGCATCTCTGATGGGCAAATGTTTCACCACCACTACCATATGTAGAACGGGGGAGAAGGAAGGATGAGATCCTCCTCCTCCTCCTCCTCATCATCATCAGCATCAGCAGCAGCATGATGATCATCATCAGCAGCATGATCAGCATGAGTTTCATCATCATCATCATCATCATCATCATCATCATCAGCAGCAGCAGCAGCAGCAGCAGCAGCATCAACATCATCATCATCATCATCATCATCATCATCATCATCATCATCATCATCATCATCATCATCATCATCATCATCGTTATCTGATCCTCATCCTCATCCTCATCCTCTTCCTCCCTCTCCTGCATCTGGTAGTGGTGGTGGAAAGTGGGCCCATCGATCTCAGACCAGATCGGAGCCATCCTGAGCGTAGCCTGACCCTCCAGCCCTCCGCGGGGGGGCCGCTCCAGACCCAGTGCGGGGGGGGGTACTTGGGGTGGGACAAACGCTCTGGGTACGAGAATCTGGAATCTGTGACCAGGAGAATGAGGAGGAGGAGGATGAGGAGGAGGAGGAGGAGGAGGACGTGGAAGAGGAGGAGGAGGAGGAGGAGGAGGAGGAGGAGGAGGAGGAGGACGAGGAGGAGGAGGAGGAGGACACACGCCCATAGGGCTGGTGAGATTTGCACGTCCACGCTTGCTAGAGGGTCGCTCAGTGCTCTTTGTGGTGCTGCCCCGGCCAGATCGTCGGAAACGGGGTGCGAAGGCGCGGGCCTAGAGTCGTGCAGGTGGAGCGGTGGGGCTTTGCCATTTGCTTGTTCGGTCGACTCTTGTCGATCCCGCCACTGTGCTTAGGGGTTCGGGGGGTCTTCGGAAGCCTTGAAGGCCTCACTGGGGGTCGCCAGGGGAATCCCAGAGGGCCAAAGTCCCAAACCAAGAGAGGAGATCTCAACCCTGGGAACCTGAGCTCCCGCCAACCGGGGAAAAGGCTGCTCCCCAGCCCTGGAAAAGGCTGTTCCGCATCCTGGAAACGGAAAGACCGAGCACTGGGAACGGAAAGGTCGAGCAGTGGAAATGGAAACGGACAGGTGTGTTGGGGTAGCTATATTGGAAGCGTGTTGCGTGATGTTTCGTAGGGTTCTTGAAATGATCGGTGTTGGCTGGGGTGGGGTTCTCCATGAGAGGGCAGTGTGTTGCAATGGCGCAAGGGTGCTATGAACAAGCCGGGGGGGGGGCGAGGAGGAGCAGGAGGAGGAGCAACAGGAGGAGGAGGAGCAGGAGAAGCGAGGAACAGGAGGGGGAGGAGGAAGAAGAGGAGGAGGAGGTAGGGGGAGGAGGAGGAGGAGGAGGAGGAGGAGGATGAAGAAGAGCAGGAGCGGGCGGGAAGGCAGGGGAGGGAAGGAGGAGGAGGACTAGGATCGGGGGAGCGTAAGACCCGGGTTTGCCGGGACTCGGGTTCGCCATCGTTTTTTGACGACCGCGCCTCGGATTTTGACGAGGAGGAGCTTCGTGGGATGTCTGCAGCGGGAGGCCTCGTCAAAATGCAGGCTCGGCCTCGTCATTTTTTTGACGACCTCGTCGGGGATTTCCGAGTCCCCTGTACCCAGGTCTTACGTCCCCTGATAGGAGGAGGAGGAGGAGGAAGAGGAGACGGAGGAGCAGGAGGAGGAGGAGGAGCAGGAGGAGGAGGAGGGGAGGGGGAGGGATGGAGGACTAGGAGGACCAGGATCATGGAGGACGACCGATCTACCGACGACGACGACGACGACCCCCCGACAGCGACTAGGCCGGGGCGGCCCAGCCCTGGGCCCCGTTGCAACGCCTCCGTTGCACCTGGGGAGCTCACCAGGGCTTTTTCTTATGCGTTTGCTGCCAGAGTCGAAAGCCACTTTCCAAAGACAGGAATCCAAGTGATAGGTCGGATTGTAGTCCTGGGGGTCCTTGACTAGAGCCACAGCGCGTGATTCCCCCGCGCTCACCTTAAACGTGCCATGTCAGACGGGCCGTGTCCAGATGAACGAGTCCTTGAAACAGAAGCGCACGTCTTGGCCCATGAAGTCACACACACACACAGGATTGATTAGTATTCACGGCAGTCTTGGGCCATCTGTTTGGTCAATGGTTTTGGGCCTTTTTGGTCAATGTGGGCATCTGGGGCCATCTTAGAGCCATTCGTTCGCAACGCATACAAATTCCAGACAAGAAGACAAGTCACGTCGGGGTGGAACGCCCTTTGTTTTGACTGTTTTGGCCATCTTGGAAATCCCGTGTGGGCTATCTGGCGGCTTCACCAGCCTTCGGTATACTGCTGGAAAATGCTGGGTGGAGCCCTGTGAGCTTTCTGGGACCGTCGCGAGGACTTCCAGCAATTTCTGTACCGCTCCGGAGGCCTCTTTGGAAAAGCAGGCGGGTCCTGGAATGCCCACAAAGTAGAGGCGCCACTTAGGGGACCCTGGGTGCCACGCTCGTGCTGCGGCCAGGGGCCGCCGGGGTCCCGTGGGCCCAAGTTTGGTGAGTCCGTCGGGGTGGACTGGCGGTGGGGGGGGGGGGGCGCGTGCCGCGTGGGGAAATCGCCACATTCGAATCTCTCCAGTGTTTTTCCTTTGTCCTTCCTTTATTGTTTTTGTTCGCGTTCTCTCTCGATCTCTCTCTGTCTCTTTCTCTCTCTCTCTCTCTTTTGTTCCTCTCTCTCTTTCTCTCTGCCCCCTCCTCTCTCCGTTATCGTTTTCCCCGTCAGTCAATCCAGTCTGCTTGTCTGACTATTGCTAGTCAGCCTGTCTGTCGGTGTCGGGTGCGTCAGCGTATTCGTGCGTGCGTGTGTGTGTGTGTGTGTGTGTGTGTGTGTGTGTGTGTCTGTGTGTGTCTGTGTGTGTGTGTGTGTGTGTCTGTCTGTGTGTGTCTGTGTGTGTGCGTGCGTGCGTCTCATCTACGCGGCCACCGGGGCCCCGCGGGCCACATTCCCGACCGTTCCGCCCTAGTTTGGTGATTTCGTCGGCTTCGCGTGGCGGTGGGGACGCGTGGGGAAATATCAATATTTTGGCCTCTCCCTTTGTTTTTGATTCCCTCTATTTGTTGGTTTTCTCTCCCTCTCTCTCTATTCCTCTCTTCCTCTCTCTCTCCCCCCTCTATGTGTCTTCTATTTTCCTGTCTGTCTGTTAAGTCAGCCTGTCTTCCTTTGGCCTGCTGCCTGTCTGTTTGCGTCGGGTTCGTCAGCGTGTGCGCGCGCGTGTGCGCGCGTGTGAATCCCACGCGGCCGCCTGGACTTCGCGGTCCAGGTTTTCCGACCGTTCCGCCTTCGTTCGGTGATTTCGTTGGTCTTGTGTGGCGGGTGGGGCGCGTGGAGAAATCGCCAAATTAGGGTATACACTTTCGTTTGATCCCCCCTTGTCCATTCTTGTTGTTCTTACTTTATGTATGTCTCTGCGGCTTTCTCTCCCCCCTCCGCTGTTTGTTTCCGCTTTGTTTTTTAGTTTTTGTCAGGGAGGACCTGGTATGTTGAAAAGATAGATACCGGGTACTTTTCGTTCGCGGAACTGGAAGTTTCCCCGGATCGTGGTCCAAACAGGCCTTCCACTGAATGCGAGGGGGAGTTCACGGCCTGCGTTCTTGCTTTTTCAAGTGTATTTGCATACGAAGTCCAGAATCGAATACAGGGCCTACCATGTTATCTTTATTATACCCATGTTTCTGTATGCGCGAGTCTCTGAATTCTGGTTTCGCTGTATGTGTATGATTTCACCAACTGCCGCGATTTTGCGAGACTGAATTTTCTCACCGGCCCGAGCAATGCTTGGGGCATGCGACGCAGATTGGGGTTCCAGAGTACCAGATGCCCGGACCAGCGTTGTGGGCCAAGAGATTGCGCGAAAGAGATTTCGTGCAGCTCTGGAACAGTACGAAGATCATGTATACGAGATGACCCAGCCGATCATACACGAGTGGGCTCAGCAGCGCCAAGACGAGGGCGCATCCTCGGGCAGCTCGAACGCGTCGGGGCCCAGTATCATCGACCTCCTTCCCGCGCATTGGCGCACGTGGCAGCGTCCAAGGCAGCGCGCTGGGAGTTTGGAGCTCCCAGAATTCTAAATATCACATTCATGTGGTCAGGTGCGCGACGCGCGCAGTTTTGCGGGCACCGTTCGGACCGAATTCGGGCATGACCACGGAAGATATTGGCGGGTAGATCAGAGGTGGGATTTGGGAAGTGAAGAACCATCGCCACTTCTTCACGCTGGCGCCCACCTCCCCCGAGATCCCTTCAGAGCTCGTCGTGTATCGAACCCCAGATCTCAGAACCTTCGAGGCCCTGCGCCGCGGGGCGCGTTGGCGACGATCGGAACGGGGCATGTCCGCGAGGGCTTCGCCCACTGCCGCCGGCCCCACCTCTATCGCAATTGGATATGTCAGAGTCGCGTCGGCGCGTTTCAGCGCTGCCTCGGCGCATCTGCGAACGTCATGCGGGGGCGGATCGGTATCCTCAGTGCATTTTGAAAGGTTGGCGTTATCCTAGTGACCTTCGCCCTCTCGCCACCGTGCCTTAGTCGTTGATCTGAGGCCCATTGCACATGCATTGGGGTGTCGCGAGGAGCCTCTCGGGGGTTTGTTCGAGGCGGTTTGGGCGCCTCCTGTTGGGCGCGTCCTTGGGCCCCCATGGAGGCTTCTCGGAGCGCCTCTTGGGCCATATTGGAGTCCTCTCGAGGCCGTCTCGGGACCCTCTGGGAGGCGTCTTGGGCTCTTCGCGGGCGGTGTTGGAGCGGTGTTGGGCGCGTGTTGAGCCCTCTTGGAACGTCGGAAAATCGCAAGTGCGAGTGGGCCAGAACCTTTCAAACACCGCTGTGAAAATCGACGGTTGGGCCCTTTTGGGGGCTCTCTCGGGAGGCCTCGTAGATCGCTCTCGTGGCCTCTTGTTTTTTTTTTTTTGGTTCTGCAGTCTTGGGTCCATCCTCGGGCGCGCCTGGGGGCGCCCTTGGCCTCGGCAGTGCGAACCTGGCGCGGTTTGCGAGGGTGCATGGCCTCGGAGGCGCGAGCGTTGCGCCATCTATGTAGTTCTGTTGCCTCGGGAACGTAAGACTTGCATTTGTTGTTCAGGTTCATGGTGGCCTCGGGGGCGCGAGCGCTGCATGCGCCAGGAGGGATTGGCTGCGGGGGCGCGAAGATTGTTTGATTCAGAACGGTTTGTTGCTTTGGTGCAGCAGCCATTCTTTAATATTATATGGCACTTGGCCTCGGGGTCGCGGATATGGCGTAATTTGCGAAGGAATATGGCCTCGGTAACGGGGGTGCGAACCCCATGCGTTTTCCCGTGCCCCACGCCCCCCGGGAATTCGAAGAACACGATCCGATGGCAGCGCCTTGCCAGTTTGGCCCCCGCCCCCCCCCCCCTCCCCCCCGCGCGGGCGCCCATAGTTTAGAGTGGGGGGCAGCAGGCAGGACTGTAACATTGGAGGCTTGAAACTACAATCGGCGCAGGGGGCAGCCACCTCGCCCCGCGGCCTGGTTGCCCCACGACGGGGGCCCGAGGATTTATCTTTCATTGTTTTGGACGCCCGAAATGGGCGCGAAAAAAATGGGCACAATGCCCAACAGAAGTTCTTGTTTATTCTGAACAGGACTCGCTGTCGGTGCCCCCGCGGCCTGTGCCCATTTGAGACAGAAGGCCGCCTGCCCAACAGCGGCCGCTGTTGGTTTGGGACAACGTTTGCTGTTACGCCCATTGTTTCCGTGCCCATGTTGGGCGTCCAAAATTGTTTAGTCGCGTTTCACTGCAGATGTTGCATCGCTCTATTTCGCAGCGCGCCCTGAACGTCGCTGCCCGTTCGTTGCCTCCGCCAGCAGTTTCGACCAGGTAGATTTTGTCACCCCTATGTGCTGCCGACCTCTACGAGAACAGCCAACGTGTCAGACATTCGCCAATCTCGACCGGTGGAGATCGCCAAGCGGCGCGATGCGCCGGCATGCCGGTCGGTTCGAGCGGGCCCCGAACAGAGAATTAGTTTCTGGAGCAGCACATTCTTTAGAGGCGATCCAGCAATGTCGATGGGACCCAGGTCTTGTATATAAGTATATGTGTGTATATGTATGTATGAATGAATGTTTGTATGTACTCTTCCCCGCGCAAGCCCGGCGCGGGGCTGCCTCTGTTGCGCCGCAGGTCGATGCGCGTGCTCAATTGGGGGCGCGGCCTTGCGTCGATCGGCATTCCGCCTCGGGGCGCGCGCGGCGGCCTCCTCCTGGGGCCCTCACCAGCCCGGGTTTGTGACATGAGTGACTCTTGGTTTTGGAATAATCAAAACATCAAAATCTCTCATTTCACCGGTCGCAGGTCTGGGCTGCGCCTGAGCCTGGGGCGCGTCCAGGTGGCTCTCCGCGGGCCTCTAGGGGGGACTTGCTTCTGGGTTTAGCGGGCCTCTCTCGGGGCTTGTCCTATTCGATCAGTCGTGACTCGCTGTGGTTTTACCCAGTCCCTCTTGGGTAAATATGGCGCCTGCGTCATGTTGGGAGATTTTGTTTTGGTGTGTCGGTCAAGTCTGGGGGGTGCCCGAGTGTCTTTGAACGCCCGGGAACGTCTCTCGGCGCATTCTCTTTGACGCGGAGTCTCCCCGCAGCCCCTGGTCGCCCGGACGGCGCTTCTGGCGCGCTGAGGGTTCCATTCCGGTGGCGGGCTCGCATCGCCTTTTGTCGTTCGGCGCCTCGCTCGGTGGTTTCCTTAGACCGCGAGCTCGCTTGATTCGCGCGCTCGGCGTCGCGTCGCGCACGCGTCGGCCCCTCGTTAGAGGACCCGCACATAGTCGCGAGAGTTGACGCATCGCATCTTACAGGCCGAACCTTTCACGGTGACTAGAGCAGCGAAGCAAGTTGCACAGGAGGCCCCCATGGTTGGCCCACCCGTGCTTCGACTAACCCGCCGGGGCTTCGAGTTCCATCGAAGTGTTTAACAGAGATCGGAGCTTGGCCGCGTGGTTCTTCTTGCCTGAGGCAGCGCTGGTGGCGGCCGAGAAGCGGGCCCCCTCTTGCATGCTAATTTCTTCGTCTCGCGTCACTTGCAGCGGCCGTGGAGGGGCGAGACCCCCTGTGAGTTCGACTTTTCTAGGTTATGGGGAACTCTGACGGCGGTGGGATCATTTTGCGTTTGCCACGCAGGCCTCGCGCACTTGCCCATGGGCTTTGGCCTGTCAAATATGCGCAACCATTGGGGGCGTGGGTTTAACTGGCGGTCTTTACCGTGGTTCCCCGCGGCATTAGCGGCCGCGCGGCGGGGCGTCTCTGGATCTGCGCCTTCAGTCAAGCTGGGCGCGTCCTGCTTCTAATCTTCTTGAAGCGCGGATTGCCACCCACGCGAGGGGCCCGGCCCTCGCGGCCGCGTCGGGTCGCAGCCTGTGTCTACAGGCCGCCTGAAGAAACGCGATAACTGTGAGTTACTAGATGACACTTTTCTCCAGCGCTGCTCGATGGCGACGTAAACTTGCCGGGCCGACCCCGAGGCGCCGGGCCCGGAGAGCCCGCCTGCTTCTACCTCTTGAGCGGCGCCGCGCGTTGCAGGCATGGGGCGAGCTGGTCGCCCAGGTAGCAGCGGCCAGCATGCTTGGGCTCTCCGCGGGCCCCCCTCGCGCAGTCGCATATCTCTCGGGGCCGCGCAGCGCCACGCATGCGCGAAGGGCAGTACTTCGAGAACGTCGGGATTCAAGAGTTTTCTGGAATTCTAGGAGTCATTCAAGAGCACGTCCGAGGCCTCCGCATCCCCCGGGCCCCTCCTGGAAACAAGTGTAGACATCGCGAACTAAGGCGCGGTGGAGGCCCCCTGATCCCGCGGGTTCCCTCGGAGGCGGCGTCGCTCCATGTCGAGGCCCTCGCAATCCGGCTGTTCCGACCAGCGGCCAGCGTAGCCGATGAACGAACATCGGTCCGCATCAGTAACCTCCGCGGCCGCGGGGCCCCCTGCGAGCCTCCTCGAGAATTCGCCCCGATGGGGCCCCCCGCCCTGGAAGGGGGGGGGGGGGGGGCGACGGGGCGATTGGCGCCCCCAGCTAGGGCCTCCGCGACTCTAGCGTGTTCCGCGAGCGCGTCCGCGATCCGCGATGGCCCCCGCCGGCGAGATCCCAGGTGCCGCATCAAAGCCAGCGCGGCGCAGCGAACGATTACATTTCAGTGTCTTGCCCGGGTAGAGGGCCCCGCGTGTCGTCTGTCTCCTGAACGGCTCGGACTTCCTCGAGCCTCTCTTTCAGGGGGCGCGCCCCTCCCCCCCCCCCCTCCCCACGCAGCGCGCGCGTGCCCCGAGCTGAATGGGGCGCCATTCCCCGCGGGGCCGCCGGACTTCGAAGCGCCCCCCCCTGTCAATGTCGCCCATCGATGCAAAGCCAGACATCGCATTAACTGCGTTCCAGTCGACGGCCAACGGGAACAAGACACTGTCAAGACCCACAAGGATGTCTCCCGCATGGCGCGATAAGCGCCCGCGGGCGACGCCCCAATGCCGACGCATTTTGATTGGCCGAGCTTCTTCGAGCATAATGCGAAGATTGCATTGGCCGAGACCCAGCGCGCGAGCAAGCGGCGCGCCGTCGCGTGCAAGGCTGCGGCAGAGGGCCGAGGACAAATGCCCGTGGGCGAGCCGCGCGCGCACGTCTGGGCCGACCTCGCCGCCCGGGCGGCCAGCGGCGACTACCTGAGCCCAGAAGAGAAGCCCATCTTGGCCACGGCCCCGGAGGCCAAGGAACTGACGCGCGTCGTGGTGAAAACCATATCTGCGAGCGGGAGACGCGGCGGGCCCCCCCGCGCGGGAGGCGAGCGCAAGGTGCAGGCATATTGGACGAGCTGCGCAAGATCGCCCCGCGCGCCCGGCAAAGACAGCATTCCTTGGTCCTAAACATACCCTTGCCCGGGGTCGGCCTGGGTGATAAGGGCCGTCCGCTGGATCGGGCGCTTGCCACTTCGCGCGATCAGCCTGCCGCGCGCGCGCTGTTTCAGCATCCGGGCGTTAGGGCGCAACGACAAGCTGAACGGCTGATTAGCTTGATTGCAGCAACAAGCCCTGGTTTGCGTCAGGGGGGTATGGGGGCATAATTCAGAACAAACAAGCACATAAACAC